GGATAAATGTTTCACTAGGCGGGACACGTGACGAAAATCCCTAATACAAACCTGACAACACGTCCCCGTAGCCAACATGGCAGGGGAAGTGGCAGACTTATGAAATTTACCTATGTGTGCAAGATATTGATGAGCCGAGGAAGAGACATGTCCACATTCATAGCAAACAAAACGGGCTGCATCAGGGGAAGAAGACGAGGCGAGGGGAGTATGGAGAGCAATAGTGCGTAGAGTATGCTTCCACACCCCATGATGAGCAACGTCATGATAGTATCGTTTGGCCTTGGTAATGGCACTGGAGAGAGCAGCGCGGAAGCCCTTCGGTTCTGCACGGACAAAGTGGGGCCAAACGTCGTCATCGATGGGGACTTCTGGACAAAAGAATGCCAGCCACCTGATATCGTCCTGTATAAGGGATATCCATCCCTTCGGGTCCTTCCAATTCAAATCCAGGAGTGATCGAAGCACGGGAGGTCCTTTGTGAATGATTCTTTGCAATAGTCGTAATCGGCCAATAGTTAGTATGACACGGGTGGGTAGCCTGTGAGTGTCTAAGAACACGCGAGCATTGTTATAATGAAGGTCCGCATTGTTAGTGGCAGACATGCCTAAGGCTACTCGGTACACAGAAGTATGTGCTGTTTGTACTTTACGCCACAGGGAATCAGTCAATCGTGTCCATACTGTAGCACCAAAGAAAAGAACAGAGGAGGCAAGCGCCTCAGCCCATGTGATTTTGCTTGAGGTGGGCAAAGCTTTCCGTGGGGCCACTGTGCTGCGAATAGGTTTTAACGCCCTGGAAGTTCTCGCAACACGTGCGGATACATCAGGCCCTAGGGATCCATCGGCCGCAACTTGGGACCCGAGAATTTGTTGGACTAAGGCCGTGGGGAAAGTGAAATTCCACTTCGCAGAGGCGATGCCCGTGAGTGCCTTGCCAGGTAAATCTCTGAGAGCTTTGCGGGAATTAACGCCATTCAATGATGCTAAGATTTTGGTTTTGTCGGCATGCATCGAAAAACCTGCTCTGGCGGCGGAGCAATAGACCGTCTCAGCTAAGGAAAGCAGTGTAGTATGGACATTAAGAGGATCAGGAATGGGAGACATAAGGGTCATGTCATCAACGAAAGAGAGATCTGGTGACACCACATCCCAATCATGTAGGGAGGACAAGCGGGTGGTCGGTGCGTCATACACCTCCTGCCATGCAAGTCCAGTGCGTTGAAGTCCGCCACGTATGTCCTGATGTACTAATCTGAACACTGCGTTGAAGACGTCAGTGGCAGATACCGTTCCTGGCCTGGATCCTAGATGGGGAGCCACAAAGTCTGTGGCGTCGCGAACTCGCCAGAATGTCCCCCTCTGGGTTTCCTGTACCAGCCGAATAAGCTCATCCTGGGGGAAGTGGCGGTGCAACAACGGACCCTGCTGAAGTTGGGCTTTAGCTCCCTGGATAAGAACTTCGGGTAGTGGCAAGGAAGCAAGGGCTTCTTCAAGTCTCTGATCCTCTCCAGGTAAGGACAGGGCGAATTGTTTGATGGTGGTGTAAAACGCCTGAACAAGGTCTAAGCATATGACAGCACCCGAGGCGCGCGTGCGTGAGCAATGTCGGAGGAAGGTCCTGACCGACAAAGTAATCATCTCCGTGCTCCTTCCTCCGACTCCGCCACATTGCTCAGCTAGTAGGGCTGTTGCGAGGAAGTCTTGGGAGAGGGAGCGAATGTGCTTATGATGTAATTTGCAGACCGTGCTAGCAAGGAGGATGTTGCGCATGTTTTTGGCCACAGTGGAGACCCCCGACCCTTTAAAGAAATAGACCACCTCGCCTACTTTGAATAAAAAGGGCTCTCTGCCCGTAGCGACGATTTTGACCATTAGAGGATTGAGGATCCGAGCGAGTTCTCGCGGGGCCACTTTGTATATGCAGCTAGGGAGGCCATCTACCCCAGGTGCCTTGCCTCTCCGATAAGAGCGCATTTGGTGTTGGAGGTCAAAGATGGTGGGGATGTAATCCAGGGAAGCGCTATCGGCAGCAACAATACTAGGCAAGTCATTATATTCAGATATCATGTCTGGCAGGGTCAGTCGATGCCCCCTCTCAACCTGGCAGAAGTGCTGTTGCATGTTATCAGTAACCTCCGAAAGTGAGGTAAGAACACGTGGTGGTTGCTGGACCCCTGCAATGACCTCTGGTGGCACGACGCCCTCATCCGTCATAAGTGGAACAGTATCGGAGGTAGGCGACGGTCCCTTCTTCCGACCCCCATAGGTAAGAAGAGTATTAAGTCCCTGCCATTCCGCTCGAGACATCTTCGCATCAACGGCAAGCTGGATTTGTTGAGCCGTTGTGTCAAGGAAAGCAGTGTGTTCCCGCTCGATCTGTGTCCTGAGAGGCACGTCGCTGTGAGCGAGGAAGTGTGTTATTCGAACCGCAAAGTCATCACTAGATAATGTTCCTTGCGCATGTAACTGGGCGGAAAAGCGCAAGAGCTGGAACAAC